CCCCACCACCCACAGAACCGTCCAACGACCTGTCACACCTCTACCACCAAGACCAACCCCCCCATCACGTCCCTACCATCTGCCAAGACCAACTGCCCACACAAGCACCCTTAGTCCCCACCACCCAGACCCATCACCCCCCTCGGTCCCATCATCCAGACAACTACTTGTCATGCCCCCACCACCAAGGCCCACCACCCAGACCACCACCCTTCCTGTCTCCACCACCCATTGTGTCCATGCTACTAAGACCAACCACTCAGATAACCAACCTCCCTCCCCACCACCAAGACCTAACACTCATCCTGTCCCACCACCCCCTGTATCTCCACCACCAAGGCCAGTCACCCAGACAACCACTAATCACATCCCCACCACCCAGACCAACCCACCCCAATGTCCCCACAACCACCACCCAGACAACCACCCATCGCATCCCACCACTTGCCACAAGATGTCCCCACCACCGAGACTCACCACCCAAACCCATTGCATCCCCACCGCCACCACCACCACAAATACACCCCTGATGTCCCAACCATGACCATCCTACCCTTGGCATCCCCACCAAGATCAAGACCAAGACCAACCAGCCCTTGGCATCCCCACCACCACCAAGACCACGACCAACAAGGCCTTGACGTCCCCACCACCACCAAGACCATGACCAATTGTGCCCTTGATGTTTCCACCAAGACCAATGTGCCCTTGATGCCCCCACCACCACCAAGACCACCCACCCACCTCGCGGAGGCTAATCTTCGCCGGGTAGACAATGTCCGAGCCCTCCCGGCGGAAGACACCGTGGGGTTTGTCTTTGAGGACAAAGACGACGTCGGCGGGGATGTTGTTGGGTGTCTGGTCACCCTCCTTGGGGAAGGTGATCTTGGTGCCCTCCTTCCAACCCCGCTTCACCTCGATGGTGAGGATCTTGTCCTCGTTACGCACCGTCTTCCCGTCGGGGTTGAGCCGCTTGTGAGAGATCTTCATCTTCTTGGTGCAACCGCTGTAGATCTCCTCCAGGGAGACCTTCAGGTCGTAGAGGACCGGGGGGTCTTGCTTCCGGCAGACGCCTTCTGCCCGGCCCCGGGGGAAGCCCACGCTACCGAACCCCCCCACGTGGAAGGTGGTGAAGGTGTCATCCCCGTCATCGTCATCCCCGTTGCGTTGGACAAAAAAGGTGTCGAAGGGGTTGCGACCCTCGAAGAATTCGGTGAACATGGCGTGGGGGTCGCCCCGGAAGGTGTAGGTGAAGGTGGGGCCATTGGACCCCCCCGCCCCAGAGGTCGGGGCTCCCCCTTTCAGCCCTAGAAAGAGAAGGGGAGGGGAAGGTGTCCCAGTTGTCCTCGTCAGCCCCCCCCCAGTGCCGGAGGTGGCCCCGGTAGGTGACCGAAGCTCCTGGTGGCGCGTCACCGGCCGGGGCAGGGTGTGGGGCGAGACGCGGGCAGGGCGTGGGGCAGGGTGTGGGGCGGGCGTGGGGCAGGCAGGGGGGGAGGTGGCGGCGGTCTGGCGCGGCCCCAGCGCCGGGGGCGGGAACCGGTTCTGCTCGGGCG